ATTCATTTCTGAAAAGAGACCATTATAAAATAGGCACATAATATGTTTTTCTACAGATTTTTCAACGAAAAGGATATATTTAATTTGTTACAATACCCATTGCACGATTATCCCTTATTAAATACCTTAATAAGTGAGTGTATGGATCTTCTTTAGTATATGAACATGCTGCATATACTAATAGGTCCCAATAGGTTGGAGCCTTACATTCATATGACTATTTTACATGACTTATTAAGTGTATAACTATTATAACATGACAATTGAATACAGTGAAACCCACAGCACTAATGGTCATACGAATATGGTGAGAATCTCTACATTTAATTAAGTTAAGGTATATCCCTTGTCTAGGGAGGAAATTCACCTTGTAGAATCAATTGAATGTCTATCTTTTAGTGTGTTTCCCATTACGAATATATATCTCAACTTTCTTCATTTAATCTAACTTTCATCTTCTTATCAAATAAAGATGATCTGTTACTCTTTTGAAAACCATAGAGCCTACTCTGTTCATTCATATCATATAGATGCCCTTTTTAATAAAACGAATCGAGCTTATCTTTTACCTTTTCTACTTTCTGAACAGGAGAAGAGTGTAAAACAAAAAAAAAGAATAGAAAAGTACTTTGCGCGTGGTGTTGAAAAAGTAAAATTTCATTTGTGTGGGTCCCACTTGAGTGGGCACACCACAACAGTAAGAATTCAAGAAAAGTTTTAGTACCTTTTAGGACTTGGTAGGCTTTGTATTCTTTTAGCCAATAAGCCTGCTCATTATCTTTTAGGCTCATCTGGAACCATTTTTCAAATGGAGATGATTCCTTCTGAAGGACCATTATTTTAAATGGCCTTGTCACTATACTTTCTCTATCATAGCCCATATCTAAAGGAGTTGGACTTTTAGCCTCATAAATTGGTTGAGCTACATTTTCTTCTATTCTGTTTAGGCCACTAACTGAATTTGAAGAAACCAATGTTCTTGGTGGAACCAAATAAGGAATGCTAGGGATTCCTGAAAATGATTTCTTGTGGCCTATATTAACTCTTCTATCCCTAGCAAATGTTACTGCCATTGTACCATCTGAGGCCTCTACTATATATTTTACTTCGGTAGAATCTTCCTTTTTAGTAGGTACAACCTCTTCTAATATCCAATTTTCAAGTAAGTTTACCTGATCCCACTAAATGGACCTCGAGACTACAAGTTTCCTTTTAAGAGATTGGTGAGGAAGAGTATGGTAGTTCCTTTTAGGGTTATTGGGTTTGTTGTTGCTTCCCTTAATTAGGGATAACAATATTCACAGCTTTATAGTGAATCTTGTAAATTACGATTATATTTTCTAACCTTAGAAGCATATCATGACCAAAAGTTTTGATGTCAAGAGAAAGGGCTTTCATTATATGTGGATCCGTTAAGGAAAGGGTGAGGTTCGGATAATAGGAGAAGTAGATGGGTCTGTCACATGAAGTAGATTCAACTACTCCGAGAAGGGATTCATTAAATCTATTATGTCGTTTACCTCTAACACAAATTATGGCTGCAGTATTTAACCCTAACCTGGTTGCTTGCTTCAAAGCCACTTGAACCATTCCAATATGGAGGAAATTATATTTTTCTTGATGCCTTGCTTTTAATTCTTTAGAAAACATACTAAAGTATTGAAATCCTTCATGAATAGGCACTGCTTCCTCAATTGTTTTAATCATATAATCAGTTTTAAACAAGCAGTTAGTATTAGACTTGTATTTCATATTGGAGAACATAGTAGGTAATTTTCAATATTTAAACTAGTTCTATATCTTCTAATAATAATATTTCTTTATTTTTTATTTTTAAAATTTTCATTGCTTCGGCTTGATTTAAATCTTGTACTCCTAGAACGACTAGAGAAGTTTCAAAATAATTTATCCATTTCTTTAGATCACTTTCAATGCTTTACTTCTCATCCTTTAGACGCCTATAAATGGCTTAAATGGCAATAACAGAAACACAACTTGGGGTTTCACCAAAGATTTAGGTAAAATATTTAGTAACTAGGCTCTGATACCATTAAAAGAAGAAGAATAAAACTCTAAGATGCTATGAATGAAGCAGCTGGTTTAAGTATCTTATTATTGTATTAAACCATCCTAATGTTCTTTCAGACTCACGACAGTCATAGTGGAAGTTATGTGTTTCTAAGTGAGTTTTAAAGATTTCATTACCAGTTTCAAGTAATTCTTGTCTAAATCTTCTTATTTCAACTAGGTTGGTAAGATTAATTAAACATAACTTTTGCACAGTAGATTCAATATATGACTTAATAAAATAATATTAGTCTTACAACAAACTCGAGTTTATTAGAAGCAAGACATATCTTGGCAATTTGCTCTTCATCTTAACTTCACACTTCTTAACTTCTTCATACAATCCTTCTATTCTATCAAGGATTACAAAGATACAAGGCAAATTTTATAGGAGAAAAGGTGGCAAATTTTATAGGAGAAAAGGTTTCCAATGTTTTTTATGCCTTCTCCTATCATATGTGTAGATATTTATAGAGAGATAAGAGGCCTTAAAGCTCATAATAATATTCACAAGAACCTATGATATAAACAAGAAACCTATAAAAAAAACCTAGATAAATACAATATAAAATGGAAAGAGAAGGATGAAACAAAACTCAAGTGCTGATTTAGAGCTATTATATCTCATATAATAAAGTTGGTGAAGTTCTTCTAGGTATAGGAATATTGCTCTTCTTCTTTTGTTATCTTTTAGGTTAAAAGTTCCTCTGTTTGATGTGATGCATAAAGGGTAGTCTTTCAATTATTCTTTGTCTTTTTCCTTATGTAAATCAAGAGTTGAGTTGGATATATAAGAATTAACATGAAATTCAATGCTTGTCCTCATGTTTTAATGATGCATGGGTACATGCATAAGTATTTAAGCAATCTTTAAGGTTTCTAAAATATTTTAGGTTGGGATAAGTGGCTCGATGAATGACTATTAGTAAATCATTTTAAGTCCACTAATAGTTCTTTATTCTAATCCTATATTGTTTTTTGGCTGTCTTATTGGTTATTTGCATCACTAGATCTCAAGTACCTCTTTTTCTTTATCAGCAAAATAATTTTTATTAAATTATATTGTCCAGAAAAAATTTATTTTATCTAAGTATTATCCCAAGTCATTAAGTCTCCCATTTACAGTCATCCTAACCTTGATAACTTAAGTAGAAAAACCTGGTCAAAATATCATAAACACCAAACCGGAAAACATTAGAAACTAATCAAAACTCTTAACACAACTAATAACTAAATTGTCATAATAATAAAAAATACAAAACCCGATGTAGGTACAATCCAACTACAGCAAAATGTCTTCACAATCAAACATATTGAGAAACTATAGTCGAAAAGATTTACACATTATTCTTTCTAGTATTATAACCAAGCAAGGAAATCTCCATGTGTTTCAACTCCCTTTTTAGCCTATGAATCTGCAAAATGAATATGTTCTCTACATATATATAAGAATTGAATCGAACATAAAGATCCACATAAGCTATTAAATATATTAAACAATAATCTCTACCTCCAAGGTCTTTTTTCTTTATTTAAAATTCAACACACGGCAGATTTTGAATCAAATTCAATAATTAAAGGTGAGAGATTGAACTGAGACTGAGAAAATAATTCTAGAACCCTGAAAATTGATCTTAGTTCAGCTTCATTAGAGTCAATAATGCCAGCTGATTGAAAAAATAGACACTTTACCTCACCTTTATTGTTCCTTAGCAAGATCTCAAGCACCTCTTACATGGTTAAGGGCAACGAGTGTTTGCTTAGCCATGTATTCAGGGCTTGGGCCTACTTCATCTAGGCTAGAATGCCTACTCACAAGAGTATTCAAATAGTTATTTGAATCTATGTCTCTCTAGTGCTCACGAACAACTTAATGAATGATAATTTTATTAATAGTTTACTTTTGGAGTGTCCTACTCACAAGAGTATTCAAATAGTTATTTGAATCTATGTCTCTCTAGTGCTCACGAACAACTTAATGAATGATAATTTTATTAATAGTTTACTTTTGGAGTGTATTTATACACCCTTATAGACAATTGTGTGGTAGGTCACTTAGGGATCTACATCTTCTACGCCTATGTGCATGGGCATTCGTGCGACGACCATGTGGATTGAGAGATTGTACGTCACGTAAGATCAACTACTTCTTAGGCTTTTCCTTACCTTTTAGCACCATTTTTCACCTAAATAAAAAGATTAAGACAATAGCACAAGGCCTGTGAATACCCAATAAAGAGATATCCAATAAAGAAATCCATCAAAATGAAGGCCTAAAATATAAAAAATAGCTATTAGAATACTACTAAAACCTATGGAAATAGCACAAGGCAAAATATAAAAAATAGCTATTAGAATACTACTAAAACCTATGGAAATAGCACAAGGCTATGTGTATTTTGTGTTCACATCAACAAGATCAAGTTCTCATGCCTTTTATTTGAGTAATATCTCTTAGTACACTTTGTACTTGTTTTTTTTTATTGAAGATCCATTGTATTATAGGTAATAAGCATTAACTCATTTGATTCATTTGAAGAAGACTATATAATTAAAAGGATCTACTCTGAATTAAAATCAATCATCTAAATAATTAAGTTTTTGAATATGAAATCATGTTTTCCTATCCTTTACAACTTTTGGTTTTCAAGAGTCTTTTTGTAGGGTACATGGCAAAATTTTGATCTATTATTTTATTATTTAATCACGCTATATAGTTTGAAATACTTATCTATTTCAACGTGTGTATATGTGTCAAATTAATTTTGAAGTTTAAAAATTTTCAATAATATTTCTTTGAAAATTATGTTTAACAACATAAAATTTAATTTTTATGTGATATAGATATTTTCAAATAAATATTAGGGTGGGAACTTATTATCATAAGTGTTTTTTAAACATTAATTCCACTTAGATCATTGCTTTCAATGCAGGAAGTAGAAAGTATTGTGGATCCTTTATCTAAAGAATACACCAACATAGATGGTGACAATGCTAATAAGATATTTTTTAAAACCCATCAACAATTGGTGATAGATGGAGAGAAATGGATGAAGGAAACTGCAACATCTTGCACAGTCGTAGGTGCTCTCATTATTACTATAATGTTCAGTGCAGCATTCGCAGTTACTGTTGGAAGCAATGATCAAGAAACTGGTGTTCCAATATTTTCACAACGAATAGAATTTACAATATTTATAATATCCGATATAATTTCTCTTTTTGCCTCCTCAACATCAGTATTGATGTTCTTAGGAGTCCTTACATCGCGCTATTCAGAAGTTGATTTTCTCAAATCTTTGCCTACAAAGTTGATTATTGGTCTTTCTGCTCTCTTCCTTTCAATTGCAACTATGATGGCAGCCTTTTGCTCGATTCTTATGATAGTGCTAAAAGGAGAATTGAATCTTGTCCTTCCAATCACTCTTTTGGCTAGTATACCTGTTATCCTTTTTATATTCTTACAATTTCCCCTTCTTGTTGAGATTTTCGTTTCTACATATGGACTAGGCGTCTTTAATAGAAAAATGAAGTATTGGTATTGATCTTTCTGCATTGAGGAACAAGAATTTACATTTCCTATTGACTTCAATGATGCACAAGTGTTGAAGTATGGTCTTAAGTACATTTGAGGTATTTTTCTTCAGTATTTTCGGACATGGTTGAAGTGCTTGTCTTTATCATGTATCATTTTTCCAATGTATTAGTGAAATTGGGTTTTCTCAATTCTCTCTTTTTTGTGTGTATAATTTCAAAAATATGGGTGTGAGATTTAAGTTTCAGTATAAATAAGATTCTTGCTAACTTGTTTATGGATGTTTTCTCAATGTGCATATATGTTATTTTTATATAACTAGCCATAATATCATAACATAATCACTTTTTTTTTAATAAGTTTAGCCATATCAATTATATAAATTTTTTTAAACGAAATTCAATTAATATTTATTAATTTAAAATAAATATTTTAATGATGTTTATTTTTACCATTAAGTTAATTCGATAAATATTGATTAATATTATTGTTTCGTAAATATTAAGTTATGTATTGTCATGTCAAGTGCTTCCCTTAGCGTTGCATAGCAGTTAGAGATATTTTAAAGCCAATAGAAGAGGATCTTCTCTTTAGACCACGACCATGAAAGCAGGAAGGCCAAAGAGGTGAAACCGGAAAAGCAAGTATTCAATATAATATCAAAAGGTCATGTTGGGCAATAAATTTAATTTTAATTAGGTGAAGACTCCCACATTATGTTCTTTAATTTATTATTATATATAATACTAATTATAAATATATCAATACGCTTCAATAATTACGACTGTCATTTTTAATTTATAGTTTTTAATAGTATTTAAAACTCTAATTTTAGTTACTGCATCATTGAGATATTTATTTAAATTAAAAAATTATTATTATTTATAATAATTGTTCTGACCATATTAATTATACATCACTATTCTTTGAGGTACTTCTATTATGAATTTGTTTTGTTTCCATGATAATTTTGAAAGTATTGCGTATTTAATTTTAGGGATTAAGGAAAAATGTGAGAAACAATTAAAAGTGAATACCAATTTAAATTGTAGCCCATGTATATATAATGGGAATCAAAGAGAAAAATAAGTTGTTAATAAAATTTGTAAAAATATAATGAAAATAACGCTAATCAACATATTATTCAAATCTTGCATTTTTTTTTTTACGAAAAATAAATAAATAAATAAATGAATTGAAAAGCAAACAATATCTCTCTTGATATTCCATTAGTTTCCTAGAAAATAAATTAAAAAAATTAAAAAATTAAAAGGAAAAAAAAATAAAACAAGCCAACCTTTGTTTAGAATTAATTTGTGGCTTTGAATTCAATTGATAGTTCACAGATTCTATAGCTATCTTGATTTTCTGTAATTTTCTAAAAAGCAAATATAAAATAACAAAAATTTATATCATCGTTCACGCTGTAAAACAATAATGACTGACTAACAGCTTGAGCGTACCTGATATTAAAGTTTACGAACTATAGGAAAAATTGTTATACCTATACTTCTTAATCATAAGACTGAAGGGTTTGTCTCTATGATAAATGCTTCACCGACGGCTGAAAATTAATTGATAGTGCTTCAAAAAATAACGATTGCAAAAAGATATTATATTGACAAAAACTGGAATTGCAAAGACAAATTGAAAATACTTAGAAAAAGAAATTACAACAAACATAAATGAAATTGAAATTGTAATTGTTATTTGCTTGTAGTTGAATTGTTCTTGATTTTGATTTTTGGAGTTGATTGTTAGGGGCTATTCTAATGTTAAGGCATCTAGCGATTATCACTAAACATGCATGACATCTCAACTGTTCAAACAATAGATCAAGTAACTTCTTTCCTTCGAGCATTGTGTGAATAGTTACTTGATTTCATCTGCCAACCACCTCCTATTAAGTCTTGTTAATTCTCAATACATTTACGTAGCTATTAATTAATCGATTACAAGCCTATAATATTTTAAAGGTTAATTAATTAATTAAGTCCAAATAAATTATAAAATCACGTGTCAAACTCATAACATAAAATTAATTAAAATATGGTGTAAGCAATGACTAATTTAAAATTATAAGGACAGAAACTATTTTGGTATTCACTTGGAGCAAGACTTTGTTGCTTTGTAAGATTCCGAAAGAAATGCCACTCTCCGTCTCTGTCTTTTGGTAGCTGCAAAAAAAATTTTGGATGCCTTCGAACTAACCTCTCCTCTATTATGGGACTGCACATAGTGGAAGGAAGGAAATCGCTAAAATCCCTTAGAATTTTGCGTATAGATGTATAAATATAATTAGGATTTTAAAAATTGTATTTAGCAGTATATTTTAATTTTAATTTTTTATTAATTAGTCATTGTATAAAGGCCCAGATCCGAAAACTAAATCATAATCAAATCAACACCTCTGATTTGGTCCAACATTATAGTATCTTTATGTATCTGGTGTATATTTTCCATATTTGTTTCCTGATTTATAGCTGATAGTTTAATACATATCTGTATAAATATGTGTGATTACAATCAATAATAAAATCAATTTCAAAAAGGCTTTAATACAATCTGTATAGTAATATGTGTGATTACAATCAATAATAAAATCAAATTTCAAAAAGGCTTTTCAATGTATCAGGAGCCTCCTCACTATACGTCCTCTTTTTTTGCCTTCTCTCTTTTCCCTCATGGCTAACACTCACTCTCCCTGCCATAATATCCCACTCTGTCACAGCCAACTAGCAGCTAATCTCGTTTAAAATATTGCTGCTCAAGCCCCTCTACCAAACTAGAAACTCTACAAATTATCTCTCCTGAAACTACAGTTCGAAAGCCTTTTATGAGGTTACGATCTTCAAGTGGTGTTCATCGATGGAAGACAAAACTCTTGGGTCCCATCAAGCCACCATGTGCCCAATGATACCCCTAATCCTGAATCTCGGCCTCTGGATCAAGTACAAATCTAATTAATTCTCATGCCTAATGGGTTCTCTATCACCCACAGTTGATTCCTTTCATAGCAAAAGCCAAAACATCAAATAAAACATGGGATATTCTCGGCAATAACACCTATGCTACCATCCCCATGGCCGTGGTTAACAAGAAGTCAAAACGGCCGTGTTAAGCAAGTCAAAACTCAGCTAAAAGCCATTGTTAAAGGCCAATCCTCCATCACTGAATACATGCAAACCATTAAAAGCAAAGCTGATGAGTTAGCCCTTCTTGATTCTCCTATGGCCGAAGAAGACATCACAGACCGTATACTTTAACATTATAAAAATTTAGAAAAATAAAAATAATTAATACTTATATTATAAAAATAAACAATAAATATAAAACAAGCAATAATTATGTGTAATACACGTCATAAAAAAATTAATAAGTTATAAATGTCTAAAAAGTACTTTAAAAGTGTCAAAAATTTTAAAAAATAATAAAATATATTGTTTAAAGTATCCGACATGTCTCTGAGTGTCCAATTTGAAGTAATAGTGAGAATTTAAAATCATTTTAATTTGCTTAATGGGTTGATATTTTGTTGACTGAAGATATTTTGGATTAATTTAAAGAAATTGAGAGTAAAACTTATCTTTAATAAATTTTCCCTCCCATCATTCTTCGTTAAGAAATATTCTTTCTAATATTTTTAGACTACTCCCTCATAAATGAATATATATAGTTTTGGTTAATAAAAAAGAACTTCCATCTTTACTGCTGCAATTAAAACTAAATTATAATATCAAAATTAATTGGGAACTATTAATACTTTTTAGAATTTTAGTCATAATTATTTTATTGAAAGTTTTGAAATTTTTTGAAGAGCGACCTTTTTTCTATGAAGCAGACGCTTCAATATAAATATGAATTTTTATTGAGACAAAAATATTTCTGACTCTATACTGAAAAAAAAAAAAAGATAAAATAGAAATCATTTTTAAAAAATTCTTATTTTCATTGGTTTGATTCATACATGAAATGATAGACCCAAGCTAAACAAATATAATCCATCCAATTATTACTCACAATGATATTGAATTTATCTTTTGTTAATTTGATAGAGATTGTTAATTTATGGCAAATGAATATACGGTCTGCCAATAAATTCAGGTTTGAATCTCCACCTTCAATACTTTAAAAAAATTCGAAATTAGAAAATGGGCCAACCAAGAAAATAATTAAGACAAAACAAGTACACCAGATTCTATTCTATTAATGAAAAATAATAATAAACATTAATTAATTATTTGTAGAGGCTAAATTTTTGTTTTTAAGATTATATTTAGCCTCAGAATTTCATTAACATCATATTATAGGCACCTTAGAACTAAGATCATTGACTATCATAAAATTTGGTCAAATGCATAGATTTGCGCTTGAAATTTCTCCCTCAAATTTGTGGGGACCTATCATGACCCTATACTTTGACATTTTAATAATAATTATGTCTTTCGCTAAAATAAATTGTTAGAGTTGGACTTTTACATTTTATTTTGGCGAAAGTTATAGTTATTATGGAAATGTCAAAATGTAGGATCATGATAAATCTCACAAACTTGAAGTGCTACAAGACAAATCGTATAAATTTCAAAGGCAAATTTATGCATCAGGCCTAAAATTTGCCACCACATTTACACTTCCAAACGATTGGCTTATAACCTGGATCTCCAATATAACCTGGATTTTCAATTGGACCTGGAGGAGGATTCGGTTCAGGCACTTGAACCGCACGACATGGCTGGCATCCATGGCACTTGTCTTGGCAACTCGGGGGTGTTGAATCTAATATTGCTTTCTTCTCAAACAACAAACTCTGCCAAAAAAAAAAAAAATAAAATAAAAGGAAAAGATTCATTAACCATAAAGCAAACTAAAGATAATAGAGGTAAATTAATTAGGTCTTACCCCATATTTAAAATTAACGGAAGAGGCTGCGGAAAGAAGGAGAAGAAGAAGAAGAAAAAAGAATAACAACGCAGCAGTGTATTTTTGATGGAAACTCATGACTCTTATTAGCAGAAGGGAATTGTTATATTATTTGTATTATCTGGCCAAAAAAAAAAAAAATAAAAAATCAAAAGGAAAAGATTCATTAACCATAAAGCAAACTAAAAGATATATAGAGGGTAAATTAATTAGGGTCTTACCGCCATATTTAAAATTAACCGGAAGAAGGCTGCGGAAAGAAGGAGAAGGAAGAAGAAGAAAGGAGAAGGGAAATAACAAGCGCAGCGAGTGTATTTGATGGAAACGGCTGCGGAAAGAAGGAGAAGAAGAAGAAGAAAAAAGAATAACAACGCAGCAGTGTATTTTTGATGGAAACTCATGACTCTTATTAGCAGAAGGGAATTGTTATATTATTTGTATTATTTAACTTACTTATCATGATTAGTTTTTGATAACCTATGCTATATATAAATATTAGAATAGACGCACCAAGACATAGTCTGGTAGTAAATGCATATACAGTCTGGCAAAATGTGAGAATAGAGGAATAATTAATGTGATTTTTGATAAAGTGCACTTTATGAAATATGAATATTCTAAAACAATCTTACTTGGATATATTTATTAAAATTATTTTTAAAATAAATATGTATTGATAATTAAACATTTTAAATCTTTTTTTAAATTTTAAGTTTTATCTTTTCTAATTTTTTTAATAAATATATATGATAATGAGACATTGACATTGTTTTATATTTTATTTTCAAATTTATTTTTTAAAAATTTGATTCTGTTTTTATTATAATTTAAATATTTTATTTAGGAAAGATAAAAAAAAGAAACAAGTAGTTTTTATAATACTATTTGTTTTCTTTATATTTATATAATTTGAGTGGATATATTTTTTAAAAAAATAAATTTAAAAAATAAAATAAAAAATTTAGAAATAATGAGTTAAAAAATTGAACGAGTACGAATAACGAGTATAGTGAACATGCAATATACGTCATTAAAAAATTAGTTATTTTTAAATATGTATTGCTCAATTATTATTAAGAAACATTTTAAAAGAATCATCATATAAACAATTTCAAAAAATAAGTTAAAAAATCTAAATATTTGTATAAAAGGAAAAAATAAATTTATAGTATTTTATGAAAAAGCATCAGGATTTATAGTAAAAAGATAAAAAAATCAAAAGTTTGAAAATGGAAATATTAAATTTTAAAAGTATAAATAAATATTAAGGTAAATAGATATATATGATTAAATTTTTAAAAAAATATTTAAAAATAAATTTTATGTTAAATCAATAATAAAAATGATTGCATAAATTTTTTCCTTTACTCTTATCTCTTATTTTATTCCATGTAGATAGATTGTACGTTTATCCCTTGTTTGGAACAAATGAATTCTATAAAATTTATGAAATTCATTTAGAAATCCATATTTTTGTGTTTGGAATGAAAAAGAAAATGTAGATTTCAATTCTAAAAATTCAATTCCATGCAATTTGACACGACTACACCAAATCCAACGACTACACCTCAAATCCTACAGAAAAGAGTGGAATTTTCTAAAATGAATTTCATAAATTAAGCAAATCCAATTTGTTATAATCAAAAGCTATCATTTTCTATCCATGAAAGTCAATTGTTCCAATTTTTTAAATTATTTTAAATTCAATTTATTTTATCAAACTTGGACTAAAAACCTTTAAAATGTTTATTTTTAGAAACTTAATTATTGTGTTTTTATGTTAATATTTGTTCAATCTTTATTTTAATAATTTGTTTAAGCATTTTTTTAAACTGTCTATGAGAGAGATTCAAGTTTATAATAATCTTTTACCAATTAAATTAAAAAGAAAATTTTATTAATCATTATTTTTATTTGTATATATTTATTGTTAATGATAAACTAGAAAAATTATATATCATAACATAAATATAGATGAGTGTATTTTTTTATTTTTGTAAATTGCTAATTTCAAGGATATTAGAAAGATATAAAACTAAATGAATTTGTAATTGATCATAAGATGTTGTCCATACAAGTGATTATGATGTGAAATTCAAATGAAATTTACATGTTTAAAGTGTAATCATTCCAAACATCAATAATTCATTCACAAATGCAGATTCCTACTTAATGGATCCATCGTTACAAAATAAGATTGCCATATTTTGAAGTCAGATTTACGGACCAAAACGGGAGCATCAAAAATTGGTGATAATTTAGAAGAATGAGTATGATATAAATTTGAAGTTGTTGAGATATAAAGCCCATATAGAAGAATAAGGAGTATGGGTGTTAAAGTTATTTTAGTATAAATGGTTTAAGAAATGTATTTGATAACAAAATAAAAAACATTGGAATAGGTATAGAATTATTAATATATTAGAAATTGAATAGAATTTGGATTGTTGATAAGGTAGTATTTTATTGACATAATTTCATAGATATTATTTCCAATTCGAGAAGATTTCATCAAGCTAAAAGAATAAATCGATAGAAAAACAAGCAAGAGTAGAAGAACATGCCATAATTTTATGAAATAACCAATTTCCATGATTGATGAAATATAAATGGTTATAAATGTATTTGATAACAAATAAAAAACAATTAATAGGTATAGAATTTATTAAAATAAATTGAATAAATTGATTTTGATAGGTAGTATTTATTTGACATAATTTCATAGAATTGATTTCAATTCGAAGAATTCATCAAGCCTAAAAAATAATCGAAGAAAACAGCAAGAGTATGAAGAACATGCCATTTATAAAATAACCAATTTCCATGATTGATGAAAAATAAAAGATGAAACATTTATAAAATAAATTTGGAAATAGTATAAATAAAAAATCGACCTTAGATTGTTTAGCAACTAATTTCTAAAAAAAAATATATGAAACAACTATACATCTATGTATAGTTACTTTAATTGTATATCAACAATTACACTGCTTCCATAAATAATTAATCACCCATAAATAGGTTATGTCCAAAAAAACAACTCTTGTTTGGTGATACGACAATAGGCCATTGACATTTAATGAACTAAATCTTTTGAATTATTTGACTCTGAGAAAAAATTTAAGGCAAGGTAAATTGATCTAAAAATTTATTTTACATAAATCTTAGGCTAAATATCAAGGACATATTTTCAAAGTGATTGTTAGAATCACATTATCATATACCTATACATGATATGTAAAAGTGGGTGGGTTGAATACATACCTCTTGTAGCGTAGCGGATGAAAAACCTTTTGCTTTATGTTATTAGTTTGCTTATTGTAGAAGCAATCAAGAATTAACAAACTGCTTCCCTTGTCCACGATCTAAAAGCCTGTTGTCTTGGCAATATAAACGAGAGAAAAAAGATATAACGAGAGAAAGTTTTTCTGTTTGTTTGTCAAAGGTGTAACAGAGAACGTGTTCTCCTGCCTTTTTGTATTAGTTGGATTACCGATTCGTGTAATCTTACCATGACTTAAACTTTCTCATTATAGACAATTAGGATAATATTTAAACTTATTTAAATATTATTAATAATTAAAAACATTAATTATTATTAATGGATCTGGGTTAAAACACTAGTCATGGACGTACCCATATCTGTCCATTAATTCGAACATCTCCTACTCACACATGACGAGACTTGACCCGTACATAGTTAGACATTCATACTCAGTATATAGATCGTGCGACCAACATACTTTGAGAGTTCTTTGCTATATACTTGTTAGAGATATATAGCATCTCGATGAGAAAAAAAAACTCTTTTAAGTAGAAAAGTATGCACTACCTTCAATTTATTTATCACATTTATTGTTACCATTGACCTCATAACATATTTCATATTCACAATTGTTACCATCGACCTGTGACACAAAACTTAAATGTGACTGCAAAATAATCTTCCCTTTAAATTAATTTTCTCGATCATACTTCAACTCGCTTCTCTATAAGTGTCCAATACAATCGCATCATTCATGATTTTTTGGTAAAACCCTAAGATAGTAATCCCTGTATTATATCTTAAAAATCAGTCAAAACTCATAAGGATACTAGTTTAGAGAACTATTATTCTCAAAGAATCTCACACAGCTAAAAGTTGAGATCATATACCTTGGCAACTCATTTGGTCGTCATTTCGCTCATGTCACAGTATTATTCTCTCTCCTTACACATGGCATGTCTACTAAAATTAAAATTTAGTTAGCAACACTAGGCAAATGATAGTTTAGACACACTCAATGCCTAACTTGAGTTCACTAGTCTACTTAATACACTTAAGAACTCACATCTGGTGACTAAGACAGATTTCGATGTACTTACAAATATTTTTTGCTATCATAACACCATCATGTTTTGTATATTTCATTTCTCACAATGAGTTGACTTGATCGCTTTTAAGCACAAGCTCTCCTCATCATCACTCAAACAATCTGCTTAAAAATAGTCTTACCTTATTTATCACACAGATAAATAAAGATGACTATCCATGTGAGCAGGTCAATCATATATCTGCCTAACATGCCTTTAACAAATCAATAACAGTAAATGTATAAAAACTATTCACACTCATGTTTGTATAAAATGCAACATGTCTTCTTGATAATAAAAAAAGGCGAAAAGAAGGTCATATAGATCAAAATCAATGAAAAATACATTTAACATCTATGCAGTCCTAGACATTTTGTATTTCCTCTGAATATATCTCTAAGCATGGGTTTGGTCAAAGAATCTCCCACCATTTCTTCCCTAGATATGTATTTCATATTCACCTCTTTGTATGTAACCATGTCTATCACAAAATTATATTTTATATCAATATGTTTAGTCATGCAATGAAATTTTGGAATCTCTTCAACCAGACCACTTCTTGTACTACAGTTGAAAATGCTACAAAATTAGCTTCTATTATGGATAATGCTATACATGATTGTTTCTTCCTACACCAAGATATGGCGCCATTGTTAAGCACGAAAAAAGATCCATAAGTGAATTTTCTCTCATCCGCATCTCCTACCCAATCGGCATCTATATAGCCTTTCAATTATATATCTCCACCTTGACAA